AAGCATCCGCAACTACAACAAAAGTATTAAGGTAAACCTAACCATAGCATGAAACATATGGATCCAAATCAGCCCCTTACGAAGCAACGCATAAACTAGGGTTTAAGCTTCTGTCACTCTAGCAACCCATCATCTACTTATTACTTCCCAATGCCTTCCTCTAGGCCCAAATAATGGTGAAGTGTCATATAGTCGACGTTCACATAACACCACTAGAGGAGAGACAACATACATCTCATCAAAATATCAAACGAATACCAAATTCACATGACTACTAATAGCAAGACTTCTTCCATGTCCTCAAGAACAAAAGTAACTACTCACAAAGCATAAACATGTTCATAATCAGAGAGGTATTAATATGCATATAGGATCTGGACATATGATCTTCCACCAATTGAACCAACTAGCATGAACTACAAGGAGTAATTAACACTACTAGCAACCTACTAGCACCAATTCCAGACTTGGAGACAAAATTGGATACAAGAGATGAACTAGGGTTTTGAGATAAGATGGTGCTGATGAAGATGTTGATGGAGATTGCCCTCTCCCGATGAGAGGAGCGTTGTTGATGACGATGGTGATGATTTCCCCCTCCGGGAGGGAAGTTTCCCCGGCAGAACAGCTCCGCCAGAGCCCTAGATTGGTTCCGCCAAGGTTCCGCCTCGTGGCGGCGGAGTTTCGTGTGAGAAGATGGCTTATGAATTTTTTCCCATCGAAAGACTCCATATAGCAGAAGATGGCCACCGGAGGGGCCACCAGAGGGCCCACGAGGTAGGGGCGCGCCCAGAGGGGTAGGGCGCGCCCCCCCCCCCCCACCCTCGTGGGCAGGGTGTGCCCCCCTGGTGAAGTTCTTGCTCTCAGTATTTTTTATATACTTGGAAAACATCTTCCGTGAAGTTTCAGGACTTTTGGAGCCGTGCGGAATAGGTCTCTAATATTTGCTCCTTTTCCAGCCCAGAATCCCAGCTGCCGGCATTCTCCCTCTTTATGTAAACCTTGTAAACTAAGAGAGAATAGGCATAAGTATTGTGACATAATGTGTAATAACAACCCATAATGCAATAAATATCGATATAAAAGCATGATGCAAAATGAACGTATCAGTTGGCAATAAATGACTTTATGCGAGAGAATGCATCGGTTTGTTGATTTTGGGAGGAAGCAAATGCATACTTATAGAGTGCACACATACTTCGTCGTACCCCAACTCAACTTCCGCTAAAAAGTTGGGGTGAGCGAATAGCAACATTGTCAACTGAAAAAAAACAGTATCACCGAAATAGTTTTGATTTCCTCCAGAAGAGTTTCAATGTAAGACTACTTCTCATGGGAAAAGGTTGTCACCACTCCAAGTCAGGACACGTTGTAGGAGATTATATGTGCAAATGACCATTTATGCACTAGAAATGATGGATGTATGTATTAACATAGTAGCAAACAAATGTTGGGTATGGGCAGCTTGACCCGTCGTATGCATTACAATCTAGGAGGCTTTGTGTTCAATTTTTCTGCTCGAAGCCCGTCCCAAAAGCCCGGAAAAAAGCCAAATGGCTAAAAAATACTCCCTACCTCTCTAAAAAAGACATATTTTTTTATCGAGTAATAAAGTGATAATTAGGTTCACTAAGTTTGTAGGAAAATCAACAAACAATACAATCTTAAATTGACATAGTATTAAAATATATTTAACCGTGTATGTTTTTGTGTGCATAATGTATCTAATGATATTGATTTAGTCATGCAGATCCTGATAGTTTTTGCTACAAACTTGATCATGTTTTTCACCATTGTAGGCCTTCTTTCCAAAGAAAAATTAATATAGTTTTTTAATAAATGAATTCTAACATAAGGCGAGAAAAACTCAATTTTAGAGTTTGACCTCGTGAAAGAACTTGTTAAAATGACAACAACATGCAAATCCTAAAACTTTACTCGCGTGTAATTAAAATTTAGAAAAACTAAGATGGATGCAAATATGTTTGTCTTGGTTGAGTGGAGGGGGAGACATTGGAGTGTGATATGAAGGGTATGCTTTGCATTATATTTGGCTTGCAGGAGGACCCCGCACGGGTACCGTCAAGATACACGATCCTTGTCGACAAGCATCTTTGAGCTAGGATCACAAATAGTGGAGGGTTGGGAGGCAACTACTACAAAAGAGGGTTCAACCATTTGACCTTGTTCCGATATACATAATGGAGGGTTGGGAGTATCACATAAGCTCTAATACTTCTTCTCGAGCTTTCTTGGTCAATGTATTCCCTACTTCTCATTGGCAATAAATGACTTGATGCGAAAGAATACAATGGTGTGTTTGATTTTGGGAGGCAACAAGTGCATATTTATAGTTGACACAAAATACGTCGAGCCCCAACTCAACTTCCGTTAAAAAAGTTGGGGTGAGCAAATAACAACATTGTCAACCGAAAAGTAGGATCACTGAAATAGTTTTGATTTCCTTCGGGAGAGTTCCGTTATGAGACTACTTCGCATTAGAAAAGGTTGTCCACACTCACAAGTTAGAACCCGCTCTGGGAGACTATATGTGCAAATGACCGTTTATGCACCAGAAATGATGTATGTACCTATCAACATAGTAACAAACAAATGTTGAGCATGGGCAGCCCGGCCCTCATGCATGACAATCGGGTCGGCCTTGTGCTCAATTTTTCTGCTAAAGCCCATCCAAAAGCCCGGAAAAAACTAAATGACTATAAAGACTCCCTCCGTCTCTAAAAAAAGGCATGTGATTTTTTTGTCAAGTAAAATGATAATTAGGTTGACTAAGTTTGTAGGAAAATTCATCAAAAACTACAATCTTAGATAGACATAATATGTAAATATATTTCACTGTGTATCTAATGATATGTTTTTGTGTGGAGAGTGTGTCTAATGATATTAATTTAGCATCACAGGTCCTTGTAGTTTTTAGTATAAACTTGGTCAATTTTTCACTGTTTGACTTCAGAAAAAAAATTGATCGGCCTTCCTTTTCAGAGACGAAGAGAATAGTAATTTTTCAGAAAGTAGGCATAACAATATATTTTTACTCCCAGAAATGATCGACTCAAATAAAAAAAGCAGTGTTCACAGGCCACACTCTCGCTTGGTATTTTCATACAGGCTTTATTTAGCCCAACCCAAAACCCAGCCCGGCCCATCCCATGTATGATCAGGCTTATCTGTTGTGAAATCATATCCACTGATGGAGAGGCGGCGAGCAAGAAGAACCTGTTGTGCTTGACAGCTTGAGACCTCCTCCTTGGCGCCTTTAGCACGAGGGAGGGAAGCGGCCCTCACGTGCACCCCTCGTAGGACGGCCCTTTGTGGAGGCCAACGCTCGATGGAGCAGCTCCGGCTTCCCTGTCTCTGGTCGTGGTTGATCGATCGGGATTAACCGGTTAGTCATAGTCATTGACTGATTGATTTGTTGACCATTGGCTTTTTGAAAAAATATGATTAGTTTTTTTAAAATAGGATTTAAAAGAACTCGTTCACAAATTCAAAAAAAATCATGGGTTCAAAAAAGGTTCACGGATTCAAGAAAGTTAAGGAATTTGGAAAAATATCACAAATTTGGGAAAACTTCATCAATTTTGAAAAAATTATTGTTTTTGGAAAAAAAAAGTTCACAAATTAAAAAAAATCATCCATTCTGAAAAAAAATTAAATTTTTTTAAAAAGTTCACCAATTTGAAAAAAGTTCATCAGTTTCCCCAAAAAAAGAAAATTGAAGAAGTTCATCAACATTTTTAAAATCATAAAATTTGGAAAAAATTTGTGTATTTTGAAAATGAAAAATAAAATAAAATGAAATGAAAAGTAAAAAGAAAATAAACAGAAAAAGAAACAAACAAAACAAAACCGGTAAAAAACAAAAACATCAAAAATAATTAATAAAAGGCTGGGTAGCTTCTGGAAGTTTGCCAAAACCAGCGACCGAACTCCTCAGATACTTTTTAATGGGCGGGCCCACATAGCATCGATGGAGGAGGGGGTAGGATGTGCGCCCATTCGCGCCAACGCCTTTAACCGGCGCAACGGGCGCCAAATAGGATTTGGGCGGTTGCTAGTATTCGTCAAGTGGAGCGCATCACGGTACCTGTTTGCCAAGCACTCACAAATCAGGTGTCAAATAGGCTTTCGATGGTTTCTCAACAGGGCAGATTCCTGTTTGCCAGTCACTCGCAAAACAGAGTGAGAATATCGCAGAACAATACACCATTTTTCAAAGATAAGCACATGCCACACTTTTCCTTGGTGAACTTGCACTCTTGATTATTCGTAAAAAAGAAAAAACTTGCACTCTTGATGCTGCATCGAGGATTTTCTGTCGCCGTTTCACATCACCGAGCATACATAGGAAGACTGTCGACTACAGTACTCCCTCCGACTCCTAATACAAGAGCGTTTTCGACACTATGGAACGGAGGGAGTGCTAAGCAGTTTACACATCACGCAAGCGTGCAGGCAGGCAGAGATGACAAGTTTTTCACCATCTCGAAACGTGCACGATTGACCCATCATCGTTCCTCCTTTGGGCGGGTGGGCATTCGATCCATCGCTCCGGCGCCGTGCTAGCATCCACGTAAACGAATGGACAAAAAAGAGGAACAAGAAAAACTCTACAGAAAACGTTATCCAAGAAATATTAACAAATGGGAAGAAATTCGCCTCGTTCGCCGCCGCTTGGCCTCTCCTGCCTCCGGGCGGCAAGATCCAAGGCCAGGAGCCGGAGGCAATTCCCCCCCTCCTCCCCTCCCCACCAACTGCAAACAAAATCGCGGCTCGCAAGAACAAGGATAAAAATCCCGTCTTTCCTTCCCTTGCGCCGCCACCACCCCCGCATCTACTTCCTCGCCACCCCGCCCCGAGCTGATCGGTGTTCAGCTGGATTACTCAGGCCCCCCTCGATAAAACCGATGCTTCTCCAGCCTCGCTAACCCTAGCAGCAGAAGCGGCCTGTAGCATCCGTGCGTCTTGGGCCCGCCGCCATGCCGTGGCTGGAGATGTGGCTGCCGGCCGCGGGCGAGGGGGCGGCGGCGGGGCTGTTCCTCGACGCCGGCGACGCGGCGGCGCACGGCGCGCTCCTCGCGGCCATGCCCGGCTGCTCGGCCTCCTTCGGCGTGCCGCGGCGGCGGCGTGGGAGGGCGCGGCCGGGGTTCCTCTCGATGACGATGTCGGTCAAGGGGGGCAGGGGGTTCGCGCCGGCCCCCGTGGGGCTGCTCACGAGCGGGGATGAGAAGGGCGGAGGGGCGGAGGTCGCGGAGGGGCTGGTCGCCGGGAGGGGCGCGGAGGGGCTGGTGCTGGTGGAGGCGGAGGCGGACGGGAAGCTGACGGAGGAGAAGGAGGCTCATTCTGGGGCCGGCGCCATGAACACCACCAAGCATCTCTGGTCTGGAGCCGTCGCCGCCATGGTCTCAAGGTATCGCCGCAGTCCCAAGTATTATCAAAGTATGGTTGTTGAAACTCCTAGGTGCATTGTTCGGGTATGCTGAGAATACACCATAGTTATGATGCAATTACATCAAATAAACTTGCAGCAGAACACTTGTCCCAAATACCATAGCTGTAATGCCGTTCCCTTTGTAGTCAAATGAATTGAGCTTGCTGGGGTCAGCAAATGGAGCGCACTGGTACGAGATTTCGAGTCTCATGCCAGACTATCCTCTTCAGTTTTAACGCCACGGAGGTGGCATAAGACGTGTGTGTCAGATAATTATATTTTCGCAAACGTGCCTGGAATCTGTTATGGTTCAAACAGCAGCAGCAGCAACAACAACAACATAGCTTTTCAGTCCCAAACAAGTTGAAGTAGGCTAGAGTTGAAACCCATAAGATCTCGAAACCAAGTCATGGTTTTGGCACATGGATAGCCAACTTCCACGCACACATGGATAGCTAACTTCCACACACCCCTGTCAATGGCTAGTTCTTTGGTGATATTCCAGTACTTCAAATCTCTTTTCACGGACTCCTCCTATCTCAAGTTTGGTCTACCGGAACCTGTATTTTTTTTATCAAGAAGAAATCTCCAAGATAGATCGAAAGACCACTATTTACAAACACCCACCAACGACAAAGCCAAAAAAGAAGAAGAAAGAAAAAATTGCTCTCAGCAAACGACCTAGGGGCCCTAGCTAGCCTGGACCTACAAGCATGGGAAACAAAAGATCTGTGTCTGATACTAACGAATTTAAACCAAGCTGTGTGTTGCAAGCTCAGGTTCAGGGGTACTTGGAGAGTATGGTTGGTTGAATGCAATTGATTGGGAAGTTTGTTAGTAAGCAGTATCTACTGCCTTTATTAGGATTTTAGCCTTTTACTTTTCCTACTGCTTAGATTTTGTGATAGATGGACTATGACATAAGTTAGTTATTGTAGATCACTTCATCTCAGATTGTTTTGCCAATTGCTACGAGTGCTTGGACGATTGGCCTCTAGATGCAGCCGACTTTGACAAATTGGCCTTCTGTGGCATAACAACTAACTGCTGTTCTGTCCACTTCATTAAAAAATCTGTTTGGTTTTTTGTTTTGTTGCGCTGGATGCTGGTTTCCTCTTGCTCCGTTATCCTAACGATAGTGCAACCCGATCCTGTTTTGGATCGTATGTGGAAAAACATAATCAAGTGCTACACTGTCCACTTCATTAAAACTTGTCGTCTTGGGTCATGCGTGAACGGGAAGTCAAACTTTTGAAACTATAACTTATTGTTTTCGGTCATACGTGAACGTGAAGTCAAATTTCCAAAACCTTTTAGCACCGCATTCCTTTGTGCAGATTTCTCTTAAAAAGTATTTCCATAAGAGTGTGGATTTAGTGAATATACTGAAATGGAAATTTGCGGTCGAAATTGTGCTTTATAGACATTGTCGATGTCCAAAATGACAAGCTTTACAAAACTGATTGTAGTACATCATAAGTAGCATTTGGACATCATAAATTTTTGTGGGCATGCAAGCTGTGTAGTTAAGAAGTAATTTTGCATCAAAGGGCATAGAGTAAGCCTGAAGTTTGAGGCGGCAAGAGCTCTGTCTTGTTTGATCTATCAGGGGAAACTAGATCCATTTCTTGCCAAAATAAACCCATGATTTTAGAAACAGGAAAGGTAATATCACTTAGGTTAAGATCAATGTTACTAGGTTGACTGCATGGAACCGCATATTTTTTGTGATTCTACACAAATTTCAAATTTTGTGGTTTCTGCAGCTTTTAGCGAGCAAAGCAGAACTCATTAATGTTGTGGCTTCAACAATTAATATAGTTTTATAGCCTGGCCAACCCACTTGCTGAAGAGAACGTTATGTCAGAGATAAATACATTATCACATGTGGCGGAACGAGTTTGTTGGAACTTCCTATCTAGGGTTGCTGATTACTCACTAAATTTGGAGATATACTTAGCTCGAGAACACATGGTAATATGGAGCTGACCAGTAGTGATAGCAGAAGCTAGAGACAACAGAGGCAATAGTTTAGCCTTTCTCTTGCCTACATAACACTGTGGATTGTTGTGGCGGTGTGCCTTGGGCCCTAGCAGCATCATTGTGCTACCACAAAGAAAGAACATCAGCTACTTTGCTAGGTACTGCTTATGTTACGGCCAGCTGGCTGCACAAGAGGCAGTATCAGGTTAACCACAGGGGTGCTTCACGTATGGGAGGTAGGACTTAGAAATTATCTTTTTAGTTATTAAACCTATCTTGTCTGTTAGGAGGATGGAACGCCTTCTTTATAAGCAAGTAAGGAGTAAACAAGTGGTCTATACTCGTCTGCTATGGTCTTCATTGACCTGCTAGTCTAGATCCTTTTCTCTCCAAATTAGTGGCCTCCTTCACCTAGTGCCGTTCTGCTCCAAGTCGTCGCTGCCCGACCCCCTCTACCTCTAAGATGGATTGTAATCCGGTTGAAAATTAGGTTCACAGCAGTCGAATTTCTTCTTCTGGGTGAAACACATCAGCAGTTAATACGGTTAGCTTACATAGTACTGTGTAGCAGCATTGGTTAGATATATTGAATAAGGATTAAGGTGGCTTGAAGGATATTGTTCTAGGTTACCCTTATAGCTGCCAAAATCTACCTATATCAGGTTCTTGAGATTATAGAAGACTTGGCACTTTTCTTTTCTACCCTGTGGGCTGACCTTGCGCAAATGTTGTCTTAGAATCTCAAGGACATGATAGAGATGGATTGTGGTACTTATGGGGGTATGTTGGCTCCGACCCAGCACAATGTCCTTCAAGCCTCATCGTTCAATAGCTAAATGATGCTACTAGCCTACTACACAGTACTATGTACAATCATTGTAGTAATTTTTCATAGCTCCTGACCTCTCTTGAGCATTTGATCTGTATTTGCTACTTATTTTAGATGTCTATCTTGGTGAGTTGGTGTTATTGGACTCTGTTATCTGTTTTGTTCTGGTCTAAGAAAGATCTGGACCTTCATCCACAAACTAGATTCCAAGCTATTTACTTGATATGACATGTCTACCATGTCACTTTTCTATCTTAACAGAAAATACACCCTTACATTACCCTATTCCTTTCTTTTTTGGAATCCTGCGAATTAGGGATGCTATTTTCTGCCTGCTTTCAATGTATAATGTGTAGGCAGTTATTTTCTCATGCCTCTGGAAACCTAGAACGTATAAACTAAAAGATGAATGCAAATAAAGACAAACCTGAAACTAAACCACCTGTACCAGAACCTGAGTGGTTTCAGGGGATAGTCCAGGATGGAATTTTAATTGTGATAATTAATATGCAGAGTGGGTCCGTATTTCCATTTCTGCTGCTTAAAGTCTTAAACATTTCTTCCCTAATTTGTATATCTCGTGTAGAACAGTTGTTGCTCCCCTTGAGAGGCTAAAGTTGGAGTATATAGTTCGTGGTGAGCAGAGGAATCTATTTGAGCTTATCCAAGCGATTGCAACAACGGAAGGATTGAAAGGCTTTTGGAAAGGGAACTTAGTCAATATCCTCCGTACTGCTCCATTTAAGGCGGTCAACTTCTATGCATATGACAGTTACAGAAAGCAACTTCTCAAATGGTCTGGTAATGAAGAAACAACCAATCTTGAGAGATTTATCGCTGGTGCTTCTGCTGGTGTTACATCAACGATAATGTGCATACCCATGGATACGGTATGTCCTCTTGGGTTCTGAATTATCCCACTTTTTTGTGCCATCATTAATTGCTAAGTATTGTCTGGATTAACCTGTTGATTTCAGATTAGGACAAAGATGGTTGCCCCTGGCGGTGAAGCATTAGGTGGGGTTATTGGTGTTGCCCGCCACATGATCCAGACTGAAGGGTTGTTCTCACTGTACAAGGGATTAGTGCCTTCTCTTATTAGCATGGCACCCTCTGGCGCTGTATTCTACGGGGTGTATGACATACTGAAGATGGCTTATCTGCATTCACCCGAAGGAAAGAGGAGAATATCAATGATGAAACAACAAGGTCAAGAGGCAAATGCATTAGATCAGCTTGAGTTGGGCACTGTTAGGACGTTACTCTATGGGGCCATCGCTGGGTGCTGCGCTGAGGCAGCCACATACCCTTTTGAAGTAGTTAGGAGACAGCTACAGTTGCAAGTCAAAGCAACAAAGATGAATGCACTTGCAACATGCCTAAAAATTGTTGATAAAGGTGGAGTACCAGCACTTTACGTTGGCTTGATCCCCAGCTTGTTACAGGTACATGTTTCTTCCAGAAAAAAAAACATTTGATTTGCGGATTTAGTGATCAGCTTTGAGCCTTAGCTCATGGTTTCCCATGTAATATCGGGAGATCTCAGTGAAATTATTTAATAGATAGTGGTATTCTAGTGATTCTGATTTCCGATTTTCCGTATGAAAGGGGCAACCAATCCTAGTGTGGCTAGGTTATTCGGCAACTTAGATCTACATATAGTATTAGTTAACCTGAATATTCGTGTTATTCAACTTTGCATGCTAGTTTGTTTTGGTTTGTCTGATGTAACCAAGCCTAATGAGTGTTTAGGTTATTCGGTAAGTTGGACCTACATGTATCAGTTAACCTTACTATCTGTGTTAGTCAACTTCACATGCTAGTTTGTTTGAGATTATCTGATGTAACTGGATTTCTTTCTCTTCTTCAGGTTCTGCCATCGGCATCTATCAGCTATTTTGTATACGAGCTAATGAAGATAGTCCTGAAAGTGGAATGAGTGCAAGTTGATTCTTTGTGCCAATGTAGCAAGTTCAGGAGACTCAGCTGACATTACCTTGGTAAAAGTTGCAAGCAATCATCGATTTATCAGTGCATCTAGCACATTTTCTTTTTTCTGGTAGGCTTACTTCACGAAAGCTTCAGAGGCTGTGAGTGTAGCTTCATTTTGGTCAAAGCATTTTCATTTGAAGCTTTGCTGTCACAGTATTCTTGTGCACGAGCTCAGCCGTGCCTCTGTTCTGTTTGCTCGTCTATAGCAGATTGAGCTGTGCCCGAGTGAAAACATTTGGCCTTCAAATTTCAGTTAACAAGGTTTCAAATTTTAATGCTTGATGTATGGATGGATGCATGTCTGCAAGCCAGAACGATTTTGTTTGCTGCAGGCTCTTGAGAACTGATATTTGCCTCCTGGCTCCAGTCATTCGTGCAGACGTTATATCCTGCTTTGTTCAGATTTGCACTGGCTTACTGCTGATTAACGGTTTACCTTCATTTCGATGATTCATTTTCCATTTGGTCTATTATGTGAAGATGCACACAATGTTTAGGCCCTTTTGGTTCAAGGAATTGAGCGAAGGGGAAATGCAGGGTTGTTTTTTTTTACCCCAAAGGAAAATTGCGGTAATTTTATACTACAATATCTTTTTAGGGCATGTTTGGTTCATAACTTAAGAGTTTCTAAAAATGCAGGAATAGAAGAGACCATGAGTCTGTAATAGCAGTTGTCTTGTTGCACGTGAAGAACACAATAACTGCTCTATAGTGTCAGGTGTATAATATTGTTGTAGTAGAAACAATGAATAATTTCTCTGGGGTTACATGAAAAGTAAACTAGTATTTCTTCCGTCTTATAATATAAAAGCGATTTTTATATTAGTGTAGGACAGAGAAATAGTATATAGAGATGAAAAAAAATCACTATATAGTTTTCACTCGTTCGTATGGGGAAAACCTCCCAAGGAATATAATCCTTCTTCGTTATCTTATTGTATGAAATTACTTTAAACCAAAAGAGGCCCTTAAAGCATCTCCAACGGCCCTGCGAAACGACGCGCGCGCGTGATAAACGCAGCCTTTAGCGCGCACGGGGCGTTTTGCCGCGCTCCAGCGGCGGCGGGAAAACCACGCGCGCGGAAACCGCTTGCGCGCGCGCGAAAAGGCGCTATCTCGCGCGCCATCTTTGCGCGCCGCTTTCGGCGTGCCTATAAAGTGCGGCGCGCGCCACGCGCCTCTCCACGTCTCCTCTTCCTCTCTCTCTGCCCCGCGCCGCTCCAGCGCCCCGCCACCGACGCGCCTCCGGCGCCCCGCCACCGACGCGCCGCCATGCCGCCGCGCCGCCGAGGAGCGTCCGGCTACCGCGGCGTCCGCCTGCGCCCCAACGGCGGCTACTATGTGGAGATACGCTCCGGCGATCTCCGGCTCGGCCTCGGCATGTACGGGACGACGCGCGAGGCCGGCCGCGCGTACGACGCGGCCGCGTGGTGCCTAGGCCGGCCGCGCGGCCAGATGAACTTCCAGGATGTCTACACGCTTCAGCAAGCGCTCGACCGTGCCCCGCCGCCGCGTCTGAACACGGCACAAGACCGTGCGGAGCACGCCGAGCGGCAGCGCCGCCTCCTCATCACCCAGGAGGACGAGCGGGTCATGGCGGAGTGGCGGCGCCGCCACCCGGAGGACGTCGCCTACGAGCAGTCCTACTGGGCAAGGCGCCGCGAGGAGGACACACGAAGGCGCCGCGAGGCGCGGTTGGACAAGCGTCGGCGCAAGGCGTTGGCGAACGCGCAGTCCGATCTCGTTGCAGCAGGTGGGAGGTTGTTCTTCACGGAAGACGATGATCGTTGGTTAGACATGTGGCTAGATACCTCGGACGACACCGCTGAGGAGGATGACGATAGTGATGATAGCGACTTAGACTAGTTTTTTTATGCAATCTATCTCGTGTTTTATCGTTTGACGTTTTTAATTATTGCAATCTATGTTTCCGATGTAAAATACCTTTGTATCGTTATCTATGCAATCTATCTATTTTTCAATAGTGAGCGCGTGCGCTGCTTTTTTGCGCGCTGCTGGAGCGGCGCGCGCGCTGCATTTTAGCGCGGCTGCTGGAGCGGGCGCAACGCGCCGCGCCAAACCAGCCGATGCGCGCGCGGCATATGTGTTTTTTGCGCGCGGCGCGACCGGCGCCTGTTGGAGATGCTCTTAGGAATGGATTCTGCCCAGGAAGCAAAAGCTCGGGCTCTTGGGTGGCCATCTAGCATCCTGTAGTAACTAGAAGAACACATGTGCGTTGCAACGGGGCTATATTAACTTAAAGAGTTCAATATTAATATTCTCATACATATTAAGTTACATTGGCGACCTTTTTTACCATCAAATCCTCTCACACACACTCTCCCTCCCTCTTCCTCCCTCTCCCTCTCCCTCTCCCTCTTTCTCTCTAACACACACACATATTCATCTTATTGGGTACGGGACCATAATCCATCTATTTCACACACACACGCTAGTGCATAACAATATGGATTATGTGTATTATTTTGCCACCACAACTGAGGGAATTAATTTCATGTAAATCGGCCAGCCACAACTTCAAGAATACGCGAAGGAGGTGGCCCGAGTCGGCATCGGTGCCGTCCGGCGCGGGCCACGGGCCCGCTTCCAAGTGCGTCTGCACGCTGGCCACTCACGTCGAGTCCTTCAAGTGCCGCTTCCACCGCACCAACTCCCACGGCCACGGCCACGGCCAAGGCCAGGGATGCCGCCCTTCTTCGCCCCCTTCACCGGTCGCGGCCAACGCGGTGCCGCGGCACCCGGCCTCGTCGTCCTCGTCCTCGGGTACCGTCGCGACCCAGTGACGCAGCCCAAGCATCGGTCTAGAGAATCAAGAACGCTCGACAACGGAAAGGGAAGGGAAGATCATATACATGTCATAAGAAAGGGAGTTTATTTACTGCTCCCTCTATGTATTGTTTCCTTTATTTGGAGATTGATTACCATCCGTGAGTTAAGATAAGGTTAATGTGATTGAGCGATTTTTCTGAAAATCAAATATTTGCTTTCTAATTAATGTAATTGAGTGATTTAAGGTAAGGTTAATTAGTTTAGATTTTATTTTTAGAGATTGTTCATGATTGATTCTACATTACTAAATAACTTGTGCCAGTATGGAAAGTTCTAATCTGTTCAGATTTCTTTCGTTGTGTGAGAGGGGAACGCGAAAATAAACCAATGAGGTGGAGGGATGTGACAAAAAAAATAGCAAAGGTGAGAGGAGGTACAAAAAAAACATGGAAGGTGGGACAAAAATAAACCGTACGAGGCTACCAACTGCTTCATTAGGAGTAGAGATTACGAGCGTCCTTTCGTGTTGTTTTGACTTTGGTTTGACTACATATACACTTAGTACTACGGAGTACTCCCTCCGTTCCTAAATACTTATTTGTCATTTTAAAGATTTCAAATGGACATACGGATATATATAGACATATTTTAGAGTGTAGATTCACTCATTTTACTCCGTATGTAGTTATTTGTTGAAATCTTTAGAAAGACAAATATTTAGGAACGGAGGAAGTATATAAAGGCCCTGTTTGGTTCGGCTGTGGATTTTTAAAAGCATGTAACACCCCGGATATAACTTTCCCAATTTGTACTCCAACTCTTGCCGTTTCCGGCATTAAGTTATTTTATTTTCTCGGGTTCGGGTCTTTGTCTCCGTGTGTTGTTGTCGTTGTCATGCATCTCATATCATGTCATCATGTGCATTGCATTTGCATATGTGTTTGTCTCAGGCATTCGAGCTTTTTCCCCGTTGTCCGTTTTGCATTCCGGCGCTTCGTTCTCCTCCGATGGTCGATTCTAGCTTTCTTTCGTGTGTGGGGATTAAACAATTCCGGATTGGACCAAGACTTGCGAAGCGGCCTTGGTTTACTACCGGTAGACCGCCTGTCAAGTTTCGTACCATTTGGACTTCGTTTGATACTCCAACGGTTAACTGAGGGACCGAAAAGGCCTAGTGTGTGTTGCAGCCCAACACCCCTCCAATTTAGCCCAAAACCACCCAACCTTCTCCATCATCTAGATCGTTCGATCACGATCGCGTGGCCGAAAACCGCACCTCATTTGGACTCTCCTAGCTCCCTCTATGCCTATTTATACCTCCCCCATTCCAATCACGGACGAAACCCTAGATCCACCCTCACCGCGCCCGCGGGACATATTGCCACCGACGGACGTGTCCGTTGCCGACGTCCGCCGCCACGTGGCACCCCGGGATTCGTCCGCCCGGGCGCCCACATCGCCGCTTCGTGCCGCCGGGCCGCGGAGGCCCAGGGCAGGCCCTCCACCGCTCCCGCCCGGGCCGAGGCGCTCGCCCGCACGCGCCGCCGTCTCCTTCGCTTCCGGGAGCGCGCCACCCTCCCTGCCACCGACATCACCGACAGCCGCCGCCGCCTTTGCTCGCCGGAGCACGCCTCCCCACCGCCGTTCCGAGGAGCAACGGCCTCAATCCGAGGCCAAGGAGGAGCCCCGCCGCCGCCTGCTTCCAGATCCGGCGCCGCCGCTGCGGTTCCGGCCATCTCCGTCGCCGGAGCTCCGGTCGCGCCGCCGCTGCCGGACGGGATCGGGAGGAGCCCCGATCTGCCTCTTCGTTGACCGCGGCCCCGAGCTGGGCCAGGCCAGATCCGCCCCGTTTCTGGCCCACCTCCGCCCGAGGCCCAGCAACCCCACTTCGGCCTGCTTCCTCCGCCCGTTGTTTTTTTTTCGCGAGGGTAAATTTCGTCTAAGTCCCTAAAATTTGCAGATCCAAGTTGCCATGTTCATAGCCCCGTAACTTTGCATCCGTAGCTCCGATTCATGCATATAGCATATCAAAATGTTCATCTCAGAGAGTACATCATTTCATTCCATTGCATTATTTTCATTTGAGTTCATTTTGATGCCCGAAATGCTGTTAGAAGAGGGCTACTTGAGATAATTGTCAGATCTGCTGCTCCGTTTAGCTTTTTGTC